CTCAAGCCATTTAACATACCCAGGGTTAGCCTGGGCATGTCATGGCAGACCCTGTAGCATTTAAGTTACTCAAACACTGAGTTATCAAAACACACGTGAGTTCCAATATAGCAGATCACAGGTCTTAGGGATGGGGAATTTCACTGCCTGGACCCCAGAGGCCCATACTCTAGAGACCTGGTCCCCAAGGAGGTATCATTGCAAGCCCTGTGGGACTTCAAGAGGTAAGATTTTGTATGCAACTCTTAGGGCTTGTGGGACCCTGGTCCTTCTTACTCTAGTTTCTGATTTGTGATGTGAGTTGTATATTATTCCTGCTCCCACTCCTGGCATTTAGTAGCTTTACCAGAGGCACAAAGCACACAGGCAGGCCGGTATCTCTGTAGGAAACCTCCAAAATCAACAACTTAGATGTAGAAAAAAAATCTATAGAAGGCTACCATACCTATTTAAATAAAAATATTTTTGATCAAACTCTAAATTTTATCAGAGCAATCCGCTTTCTGAAGTCCACTGATGATTGTAGGTCAAGGGTCTTGGTTGTGTGCATGGAGGTCGGAAAGAAGGAAGAAACAAAGAGGGCTAGAGCACTTGGAGGGCCTGGCAGTCGATTCTTCTCTCCCTATTAATCATTTCTGTTTGGATCATTTGGATCATAAGTTGCTCATCTGTGGGTTCAACCAAATGAACAGCAAAAAGATTAGGGGGAAAAAACTTACACATGTACCAAACATGCACAGACTTTCCCTTCCTTCTTGTCCTTCACAGGACCACTCACAGGACATTTGCATTTACGGTACATTGTGGTAGGCCCTTGTCGCCAAGAGATGGTTGAAAGAATAGGGGAGGATTTGTGTGTTGTGCAGATAGTACACTGTTTCCTATAAGGGACGTGAGCATTCACAGATCATGACAACTATGTGAGTCCTGGAACCTCTCTCGTGTATCCCAAAAGCCAACTTATTTATGTTGTGGTTTTGTGTGTGTGTGTGTGTGTGTGTGTGTGTGTGTGTGTGTGTGGGTGTGTGTGTGTGGTATCTATGCTTCATCTTCACTTCCTGATAACGGTCCCTGTTTCTAACATTTTCCTTCTACCTTTTCTGTTGGATTGGTAACTTTCTAGCTCTCTTGTGTTTTTCTAAAGCTTTCATCTCCCTGTCCTGTGGCTCATTTCAAAGGCTGCTATCTGCTGATGATCCAAGGCCTATCGGAAGGGGGTGCGTTCATTCTCCCTTCCCCTTCTTTACCTTCTGTTGGCCAGCCTGTGGGAGGGTCCTGCCTGCAGCCTGATGGTCCCTCAGCCCACACCACAGCTGGCCTCTGGCAGAGGTGTGCCAACAAAAGAAGAAAACAAAAGTCGAGCTGCAGTCATTTCAAGCTCCATTAGGGGCATGCGTTGGGCAAGGAAATCAATGGGAAAAATGAAGCTGGCAGGTAAAGGACTTCTTTCCCTCTGTAGAATGGGATTGACCACAGATGATGGGAGGGCAGAAATCACCAGGCAGGAAAACATTTTTTTGAAAAATCACATTCAACAATGTAAAAAACATATATGAATTTCCAAAGCCTAGGGGAAAACAAAATCGCCACCTTGTTTAGCATTTTTCTTTGCATGACCAAGTATGAGCCAGTTTCCAGGATCGCAGCACGCAGCTAGCCTCTGTGGATGGGTGGTTTGAACGAGACAGGAATTATTCTTCTGCAGTTAATGCTGCCATTTGAAAGGATAAACTTTTAAGTATCAATAATATTGATATTCGTCCTAATGTGTGGCTAATCGAAGACCATTTTACAGCTTTCCTTCAGAAACCAGTCAAGAGAACAGTTTCCACGGGGACTTGTTAACTTCGAATTCCTCCCAGTCCTCTGACAAGATACAATAAAACAGGTATTTTGAGAGGAGATGCAGAAGGAATGCAGTTGTGCTTTTTTCATAAACAGTCTATGGAGAATCAATTCTTACTCTGTAACTTTGTTTCCATAAAACCTGGGCACTCACAGGAAGGATTTCTTTCCTGTCATTTGATTTCTTGGATATGCTCAATCCTGGCCTTCCCAGTTTTCTCTTGATAGCTTTTCTCTGCCTTTGTTGTCTTGACGCGATGACCAGGAGCAGCCACCAGGTGGCACTGTGCCAGATGAGGGTCTTGGAGCGCGGAGAGGGAAATTGCTGGGTTTAGCTTCCATCGCGTAAATTCATGGCTAGGGAAGACTCAAGGATAGAGTGGCATGAGAAGATGAAGAGGACGTGGATACAGCTGCCTGGAAGGCAAGAATCTTGCATTTTGTCTGTGGACTGATCTGTGTGAAACTGACAGAAGACACGTAGCTGGAGCTGAGATGAAAAGTGGGCATATGGTCGGCGGAAATCAGTATTCAAGGCAGAGGAATCACGGCGAGATGCTCACAGATTACCAAAGATTGGTAGGAGAGTCCCTGTAATCTCAACAAAGAAGTCCTTTCATTTACACGCCATCTAGCCTTAGTGAAGAAATTAAATTTGAGTAGTTCTTTAAATAATCAATACCCAAATCAATAATAGATTGGCACCTTGCAATGTCCCTGATAAGGGCAAGGCTATAGTAAATGTGTGGTTATGCCTCTTTCAATTTACAGGTTAAAAATTAGAATTGTCCCTGCTTGGTACTGTTATCTTTTTTTTGTTGTTGTTATTGTAAAGTGGACCAAGCATCTTTTCCTTAATGCCTCCCACCCCATGGAAAGTATACCAGAAATGGCAGCACCAACATGGCATTTTATGCTCAACGCCCATACACCAAGCACCAGGTAATTGTAAAATAATGGAATACCTTCTCCTATGTGCTCAGTCCCAAACCCAGCAACCAGGGAGTTAAAAAAATAGAAACCATAGCGTCCCGGGTTTCTGCAAAAGGAAAAACTCTCCTGACTTAATCATGGGGTGTGCTTGTGACATGTTGCACAGATAGAGCTGTACCCAATCCCTCATTAACTTACTGTATTCTCATTGTCAGTCCTCTGGGGATGTGGGGTTGGGGCCACTCAGCTTTGTGGCAACTGTGGGTGTATTTGTAAATGCATCTTCATCACTGCCAGGCCCTGGAAGGCGTCACCCTCCACTCAGGAAGCACTGGAGGAGAAAGTCCACAGGGTGCTAGGTAGCCTTCATTGTCTTCACTTACGGTTTTTATGGTGCATGCTTCCAAGCTCCCCAGAATGAGAGCTACTAAGCTGTGCGCTCTTTGTCCATCTCGGCACTCCTGCCGGCCCTTTGCTCAGGCTTCCTCTGCTGCGCAGACTGCTGGCAGGCCACCCATGAGGGAGCTGGCTTTGCTTAGGGGAAGCTTTTTTTTTTTTTGCTGTGTACAAAGTCAAAACTCATGCTGGGTCTGGCGGTCCATGTCTGTAATCCTGGCTCTTGGGAAACTGAGGTACAGGAATCATGAGTTCAAGACTGTTTTTTTTTTAATCAGATAAAAATATAGCCAAGAACTTAGATTTCCATTAACTGTCTATCAAGGATGATCAGGAACCACGAACTTATAGTTCAAACTTGTATATAATTTATGTGTGGGTGCATGTTTGTGTGTGTGTTCCTGCACATGCGTGTACATGCATGTAGTGGCCAGAGGACGGATGTCATTTCTCAGGAACACCATCCAGTCTAGCACAGTTTTGAGTCAGGCTCTCATTGGTCTGGAGCTCTTCAATTAGACTGTGCTAATCCACCTGGCTCTGCCTCCCAGCTTGGGATGACAGGTGTGTGCCACCACACATACTTTTTTTCCCCATAGGTTCTGTGGTCCCAGTTCTGCCCCTCATGTTTATAAGGCGAGCTCTTTACCCACTAAGCCATCTCCTGAGCCCTCCTAGCACAAGTTCAAAACACACCGGATGCCTTCATGGCAAGCAAAGCATTTCATGGTGCGTTGTAATCTGAAGGCTTTCTGTGGGCCACAGGCATCCCAGTTCTCAACAGCCTGGTATTTTACATTTGGTCTAGCTCACATATTTGAGGCCTCTGGATCGCTCCCATAGCATCTAACAAGTGGATCCGCATGACACACACATGTCTGTACTCTGCTGGAGATAGCACCCTTGCTCATAAAAGATTTAAGATAAATGGGGTCAAATCTTCCACACTCTTCACACAAGGGTAAATCGGAATGACTTCTGTAAAGTTTGACATGGTGAAAGAAATCTTGCTATGAGGGGACCTGTTCTATAGGTGATTTGGTAGTTGGTGATAACATAATCATCTAGAACCTTGAGAAGGAGGCCTCTGCATGTGATGCTTTCCCACTGAGGAAATGGGGACTCTGGACAATCTAACCTATAAAGAGAGATCAATTCAAATATCTCATCCCACTGTTTGAAACCCATCCAGATGCTTCTGATTTTCAGTTTATACAGGAAATAGACACTGGGGCAGGCAAGGACTTTCCGAACAGAACACCAATAGCATGGGAACTAGCCTCAGTTATCAACATAGGGGGAGGACCGCAAGAAACAAGACTGTCTCTGCTGAGCAAAGGAAGCTACCAGCACAGCATGCAGCAGCCCACAGAGCAGGAGAAAATCTTACCAGATACACTTCAGACGGGAGGATAATAGCCAGAATGTACAAAGAATTGCGGAAATTGAGTACTAAGGAAACAAAACTGCCAATCAACAAATGGGCTAATGAACTGAGTAGACAGTTTTCAGTAAAAAGAGCAGAAACGGCCAATAGCTATTTTTAAAAGTGTTCAACATTCCTAGTCATTAGAGAAATGCAAATTCAAAGTACTCCAAGATACCTCCTTACCTGTTTCAGGATGTCTATCACGAACAAATCTGACAGTAAATGTTGGAAAGGGTGTGAAAACGAGAGGAGTCCTTACTCATTGGTGGGGGTTCGAGTCAACATAGCCATGGAAACCAATTTTGAGGTTCTTCAAAAAGTTAACAGTAGTACTACTATAAGACCTGGCTATTTCACTCCTGGCCTATATTCAGACACCTTCATACCATACAGATTCTTTCACCCCACATTTATTTCTGCTTTATTCGTTGTACCAAAGAAATGGAGCCAACCTACTTGACCATAAACGGTTGAATGGATAATGAAAATATGGTACTGTCTTAGTTTTTTTTCTCTATAGCCATGGTAAACACCATGACTAAAAATGACTTGGGGAGGAGAGGGTGTATTTGATTTATACTTCCATATCACAGTTCATCATCAAGGAAAGCCAAGGCAGGCACCTGGAGGCAGGTGCTGGAGGAGAGGCTATGGAAGAACTTACTAGTTTGCTCCTCCTGCCTTGCAACCAGATCTCACGAAAGTATTTTCTCAACTGAAGTTCCCTCTTTCCCAGTAACTCCAGCTTGTGTCATGTTGACACAAAACTAGCCAGCACAGGGTTGTTATGACTTAGGATTTGAGGCAACTTTGATTCACGTATTTGTTTCTGTCTTTGCTGCAGGTTGGGCTCTTGGGGAATAGACTCAGATGTTCGTGGATGGCGTCACCTGTGAAAGAGACAGGTGGGATGCCTGAACGGTAGTGCCCCTTACAACTCAATGCGTTAAGTGATGGGCCTCTGTAGTCCCGCCTCATTCAGCCACTGTCTGCTGGCTGTTCCCAGAAAGGGGGTGACCTTGCAATCTGTGGCACCCTGCTCCCGAGACAGTCTGAAACAGGCTGGCCGCTGAGGACTGTCTTGTGACTATACACCTGCTCTGGGCAGCAGGTCTTTACTTGAACATTCCTGGGGGTGTTTCACATCCGAGTGGACCTCAGTGGAAGAGAGGCTATCAGCTCAGAGCTGGTTAAGGGAGGGTCAAACTGCTCTTCAGACCTAAAAAAGGTTGGGCCAGCCACACAGCAGGGAGGTCTGGAGCATATTGACCCGGGAGAGTTTCTTCTCATTGGGTGGGAAAGGCCTGTTTTCATAGCCCTCTGCAGTGGGTCAGTGCATGCTCATTGCCATCAGAATGGGCAAGCCCTGGGGTGAAACCATTCTCAGTGGCAAGGCGGATCCCAAAGGAGCTGCCAGTCAGACTCCACCACTGCTGCACGACGTCCCTCCTTCCCCGAGGACTGGGTGGCCATTTCTGTCCATCGTCTGCCGTTCCCACATGTCAGATATTCTTGTGTATATGTGACCCCATCTCAGTGTTGTGTTGACTGGCTCATGTTGCGCTCACTTTTGGAGTTATTTTCTCTCCACTGGTTTGGATGGTGCCTCCATTGAAGTTGATCCATCCACTCAAACACTGGCTTATTAACCTGCAATGATCAGAGGGAGAGGGTGTCAATCTTTCTTCCCCTTCTCATCTCTTTGAAGGTTCCCCTTCTGTGCAAATGCTTATGGGAAAGAATTAGTGACGGCTTTTGTTTTTTGAAGATATAAAGACCAGCCCGAGGCCTCATTCCTGCTTCTGTCTAGTATCATCTATTTTCCAATAAGAAAAAGTCACCTTTTGACAAGAGGCTTTGAGATCATCACTAGAGAATTTAGCTTCTTTCCTATAACTCAGAGAAAGCGGACCCACATAAAGGGACAACTTGAAACTTGTAAAGGGTCCCCAGGAGAGAAGACAACATGGGATTTGGTGACAGTTGGCCTCTGGGGGTGGATGGGTTGACATGATGCTTCCTGCTACCATCTATCATTACATAAACTCTCTGGCATGCAGTTTCTTCAGGTGAAGATCACAGCTCATTTTTTTGTCCTCTTTTGTAGTAAATGTCCTTGATTGGATTCTGTCTTTTATGCTTATGCGTTTTCTAAACAAATCCAAACAGCTCCATCCTCACAGTTTCTTTAAAAGGCCCCTGTTGACCTTCTGCTGTGTGAGACATTTCCTAGGGAGATGTCAACAAATGTCTGCAGAGACCTAATGGACTGTAGACCAGTGCAATGATTCTATCAGAGTCTAACTTGGTGAATCAGTCAGTTTATCGGGTTATATACAGGAACATAGACAACCAAAAAGTAGCTGTGTCATCCAAAAGCCCTCCTAAGCTTGTGTGTCCACGAATGGGAGATGGAACTCTGGAGCACTCCGTGTGTGATGTGTCTTTCCTCACCAGTCCTTGATGCTTGCATAAACAGAGAGGGGGTATACCTTATGATTTTGCTAAATTCCAAGGACTTCTTGAGACTTGTGAGTTATTTATTGCCTGAGCCTTAAGGAATCTCTTTGCCATGAGGATTGTTTCTACTCAGAGGAAAATGCTACACATTTTGCCTGACATATGACCTCCCAACTGTAGGCGGACATTCCTGTAGCCATTTAGTCCCAAATAAATACATGGAGGCTTATATTAATCATAAATGGTTTCGCCTATAGCTCAGGCTTCATGTTGGCTAGCTCTTTCTTAATTATTAACCCATATCTATTAATCTAAATATTTCCACATGGTCTTGGGATTACTGGTGATGCCCAGTCCCTTTTTTTCCTAGTCAACTACATGGTGTCTCCACAGCAGCTCCTCTCTGCTGCCCTCTTCCAAGTATTCTTAGTCTGGTAGCCTATACTTCCTGCCTGTCTACTGGCCAGTCAGCATTTATTCACCAGTCAATACAGAAGGACATCTGCTGTCACCCAACCACATTACTCAGGTCACTCTCTCTCAATTCCAGGTCTTCAACCAACCCCCTCAACTAGGACATCCCATTCTTCTCCGGATACTAGACTCCTGTTCCTCCTCTGGCCAGGACTGAGTCTCTGAATATTTTCTAACTGTATGCATGTCTGATGCTGTCATCTTGGTCCTCTAAGGTTTTTTGATGCCATCTGTGTGCTGAGGACTCTCATCACATTTAGATCTCCAGCCTGACCTTGCCTGTGACTTTCAGTCTCAGATATTCAGTCGTTTAAGCCACATCTCCTTTTGAGTGTATCATCTGCACCTCAAACATAACTCCTTACTCCCACCCCCACTTCCCACGGACAGTACAGGAAGGTCTGTGGAAAAGCCAGTGTTGCTCTTCCCCTTCATGCTCTGTCCTTCCTATAGGGACTGGAAATTACCAAGTATATTTCTCAGAAACTCTGCCTGTGTGGATCCCATTTCCACCCCACCTATAAGATGCACTTGGATGAGACCTGGAGAGAAAAGAGGCTAAATAATTGCTACTCGCAGACTATCCAAGTAAGAGATTTTGTCTTGGTCTCTAGCACTCTTATGTAAACTCGTTGCATCTGAAGCTGAAGTAGCTCAGCCATTTCCTCAACGCCCCGCAAGGCTCTCCCTCTCTGTAAGGAGAGCAGGCTGACCCAGTACTCTGCCATGACTCGTGTGCTCTTTCCCTCTTTGAGAGGTTTTCCGCCCACAACGTCAGATCATTTCCTGCCGAAAATGCTTGCATGCGATTCACATTTGAGCCATAGTCCCTGGTCCTGGCATTACCTCACACCTAAACAGAAGAAATGGGAGGCACCGATGTGTTATCCCAAGGTCTAAACCCACTGAACTAAACCTTTACCATACAGGTTAATAGTAGCGTTATCTCTGCTGCTTCTTAGGTAAAAAAAGAACCATAAGAACATTTGATTCTTCTCTCTCAGTTATAGCCAAGATCTAGGTTATTTAAAGGATACACCTGAACTTCTGAGGGGTTATATAACCTGGGGAGGTTCCAGATAACTAGTGACATTACAAGCCATTTATCCCCAAGACTGAATGTCACCAAACATGTGCTCTCTCTTGATAGAACCTGACTGACAGTGTTTTAACTGGGAAAACAAGTTCTTATGTGCATCTCTTTCTCCATGAAGCTTACAAAGAAGTCTCCAGCAGAGGGAAGTCAAAGGTTTTTTTTAAGTGGGGGGCTGGCATGACAGCCGTGTCCAAGAGCAGACGGTTCCTCTTGATCAAGGAAGGATGATACAGTTATTAAGCAGGGCTGGGGAGCAATTTTAAGATTTTTGAGGTTACAGTTTGAACTGTGCCTAACCTGTGCAGGTGTAAAATGTTTCACCATCAATATGTATATCACCATCATCAATTTTGGACAAAGTCCCAGGACTGCAGTTGTGTACAGGGATCATGTATATTCTACTCTGTGGTAGCCATTGCCAAAAGAGTTGTTAGAGTAAGAGAAGTCAAAGTACATCAAAACTTCTGTCCATAATGGTTAACCCAGTGTCATTTCAAATTCTTCATCATTGCCATCTGCTGGGTGCAAGAAAATTAGTCCGTGATGTATAAAGGAGGACATCTTTTCCTGTGTTGTTTCTGTGGACTGCCTACTTGTGATGGGGATTTCTTATAAAGTTAGGGTAGGCTACTAGGGGAATACATTTTGTTTACACTTGCTGAGTAAAAATACAAACATTGAGTAGGAGGTCCTAGCACCCTAAGGCAAGATTTTTAAACACTGGCATCAGAGGAAAGTGTTTTTCTTCTTACAAAATATGGCCTCCCTTTTCCTGCCTAGGAACATCTCACCTAGCCATCCCTCTGCAGAAATACCTCCTCCACACTTAGTGGTAGGAACCTTCCAACTGGAGACGTGTACTCAGATTCCCAATTCTCACCACTGCAATCCTCTTATCTAATCACAAGCACAGTTTTACCTGTGACATGGTGCTGTGAAACACTGAATGAGAAGCAAAAGCAGTGAATAAAAACGAAATGATAAAATAAATCCTCTTGCTTATAGGTTCACTGGGAACTGTGAGTCAGAATTATGCATTTGGCAACACAGAAATGATACTAATGAATGCAAAACATATGAATCATATGCTTTTCAACCCACCATACAACTCCTCAAGTGGAAACAAGACTCCTAAATCTAGAAAATTTGTCTAAACCGAGATCCATGGTGTATTCAAGCATGCCTACCTCTGGATCTATTACAAATTTTTAACCTTGAACACGAAAGAAATAAATCTTTTGGATTTTTGAGGGGTGGTATTAAACAGGTTCTCTTAAGAGGAGACTTGAGAGCCAACCTAAATCCATCTATGGGGATGTGGTCCTAGTGCCGATACTGGAGAGAGAGCATAGGACGTTGGGATTGAAAGCTGGTACAGGAGCAAAGAAAATTATTCTGGTAGTGTAGATATGGCCCCCAAAGTCCATCTTTCCTGAAGTATCTTTGAATATGTATCAGTTGACTCTGTATTGCTGGGACAAAATGTCTAGGATAAACAAAAGAGGAAAAACAAAGGAGGAAAGGTTTTTTTTTTTTTGTCTTTTTTTGTTTTGGTTTTTGGCTTACAGTGTTCAGAAGATTCAGTCCATGGTCAGCTGTCTCTGTTGTGTTTGGTTTGCGGCGATATGGAGACACACAAACACAATGACAGGAAGCTGTGGTGGAGAAAATCTGCTCAATTCAAAGTGGCCAGGAAGCAGAAAGAGCCAGAGAGGAAGTCGGGATAAGATAAACTTTTTAAAGGCATGCCCCAGTGGTTCACTCTCTGCTGGTAAGCCCCTAATAGCCCATTCAGCTATGAACACATTAATAGGCTAGACAGTTGATGAAGTTAGCACCATTATGATCCAATCATTATCCAATAGCAGCAGCAGCGGTAGTCCAAGCCTTTAACACATGAGCCTTTTCAGGGGACACTTTTACTCAAATCCCAACACTATGTGATCAGATGTTTGTTCTGTCCTTAGGATTTCCGGAAGGCATGGTAGAGATGGCACTCAGTAGGTGCAGTGGAAAGGTATCTGATGGTGTTTGAACAATGCTCTGTGATTCCAGAGTATGCCAGATGCAGACGGTAGGGCAGTTCTGTTCTTGTTGACTGCTCAGATAAAGCTTCTGTCTATGAAGAGGCTTGTTGTGGGGGTAAATCTAAGATATCTCCTACAAGTCCCATGTTGAAAGTTCTATAGTCTTCAGCTCATTTAACTTTGACAAATATCTAAGAAGTCTCACTATATTTCAGGTGACAAATTTGAGACTCAGAAGGGGAATGAGACTCTCCTCTACCGGGCCCCGCCTAAGGTGTATCATGTTTAATTGAACCCTATCCCAACCCCTGTGTTGAGACCTCAGCCCTCAGTGGGAGGGTATTGGAATGTGGGGATTCTGGGAGATGATTAACTCTAGGTGAGGCCAGGAGAGTGGAGCCTTCATGATGTGATTTGTGTCTTTATCGGGTATCACCAGAGAGTTTACTTCCTCTCCTTGTCTCTACTGTGTGAGGACACATTGAGAAGATCACTGCCTATAAGCCAGAAAGAACACTACTAACCACCAGAACCCAGCCATACTGGCATTGTGACTTCAGATTTATAGCCTCCAAAGCCACAAGGAAAACATTTCTATTCTTAAATATATCTGGCCTACCCTAGAATACCCCCTACAGCATTGTCTGACTGCCTGAGCTAGGATACTGGATTTCAACCTGTGTCTGTTGGAATGCAGCCTGTCCAGTCCAGTACACTGTGACATCTCTCCGGGACCATCTAGGACTTTACCATGTCCTTTTGCTAACCACACAGAGACAGGAAAGTAAATCAAAATGAAGCATACACAAATTTCCCCACCTGAGGAACCTGTAGCACTTAGAGGTATTGCTTGTAGTGTTTAATCATGGCATAAGGGTACTTACTGTCCAGGGGCAGGCATTTACTTTCCTTCCTTTGAATTCATCATCTCAGGGAGGCCAGGAGCATTCCCACAGCCCTGGGTTCTATGAAGCTGTCGTTTCACAGAATTACAAAGTCAGACATAGCAGGGTGCACTCACTCTGAGAAGTCGTCCTTCCAATATTCACCAATTTTTGCTTTTAGAAAATAGACTTGGCTGAGAGGCACACTAGGCCTGTTCTGAGTTGATCAGACATCTGTCAAAACACCTAAAAGCTAAAGCCATATTAAGGGCTTCTCAGAGAACACAGCAGCTTCAAAACACCTACAAAAAGCTGAAAAGTGCCCCTGACTTTCTCTCTTGTAAGAGAAAGAGGACTGAGTATGTACCAAGTTCATTTTCTGCATCTCTCTGGAATAATCTTGGTTTGAGATCCTTGCCTGGAGGTGGTTTCACTCTTGGTCATTATGTCAGGGTTCTCTGACCACAGGGCTCTTTGATTCTCAGCTGTGAAATCCTACCTTAGTTTAGGTTCAGTCCTTGAAACTTCCATCTGTCCTCTAAGTTTCTGCTTGAAAGACCGATTCTGTTCTCTTTCCATCCACCAAGACACCAAATGGAATCAAGGAATCCTTCTGTGGGTAGTAGAGAGATGGTAACTTTCCCTTTGGACAACAACTGTATTGAACACACGAGCGCTGGGGAAATCATGGGCTAATCTATGAGGGTCAGTTTTCTATCTCCACTCTGTGGCTACTGGGGATGACATTCATGTTGTCAGGCATAGTGGCTGTGCCTTACTGCCCGAGCCATCTTTCTGACTCAGGAAATTGTGTGTGTGTGTAGGACCTGGGTGGTGTCAAATGTGAATGAGGAAGCTTAGTCACTTATCACCTTATTTATTTTGGATACAAGCTCTCTCAATGAACCTGGAGCTCAACCATTTGGCTAGATTAGTTGTCTTGAAAGCTCCAGGGATTCTCCTGTGTCTGTCTCCCCTGTGTGGGGATGACTGCCAGTCCACAAATAATGACCTGGAGACTTATTATTAATTATGGAAGTTTGACCTTTATCTTAGGCTTGTCCCCAACTAGCTCTTATAACTCAAATTAACCTGCCTTTATTAATCTATGTTCTGCCACGTGGCTTGGTTACCTCTCTTCTGTACGATATGTTTGACTTCTTCAGTGTCTTGCTGGCATATCTAGTGTGCCTGGATTTGTTCTGAATTCCTCTCTCTACCCAGAAGTTCAGCCTATCCTCTCCTGCCTACCTTCTGGCCATTCAGCTCTTTATTAAACAAATCGTGGTGACACATCTTCATACACTGTAAACTAACATTCTACAGTATCCCCCCTTTGTCTAAAGGAAAAGGAAAGAGTTTAACTCTAACACAATAAAACTATATATAATAAGAACAATTATCAGGTAAGAACTACATTCACAATGTCCAGTCCATTTGTATTTGGCAAATTCAGAGAAAATATTCTATTGTCTATCCCGTGTTGATGAGTCCAAAGTTTTATACCTAAATCATTCTCTATCATAACTTGCATTATCATCTTAAAAATACCTTTTTAGACCTAAAATATTTTCTTAGATAAACAACTTAAGTTTTTATGTCTCTCAACCATATACACCTTACATCTCTTTTTTGAGTGTTTTTTAATCTTTTAATAAGGAAAACTGTAACTATATCTCATTTTCAAGCCCATCACAGACCTGAGAAGGACATAACATTACCTGGGTAAACAGTAAGTACAGAGTAAACAACTTCCCAAACTATAGCAATGACTGAGACTGCTGGCTGTCTGGCAGTCACCCGAGGTTCTTCTGCAATGTTGGTGCACCCATCTTTGATCTACAGGCCTGGAATACCTGACAGATTTTTCTGTGAAGCAAGAATTTTGAAGGACTATCCTACCTTGTTTTGGCAAAGTTTAGCAGTTGCCTTCTTTGTGTCCTTCGTGTCCAATTTGTACAGCATACTGTCAGCAGTAGAGACAAGGGACATTTCTTGAGAAGCATCTAACTTTGCCACAATGAAAGCAAACTCTGTTGAGAGGTTCTCTGATGCCCATCATCCTTTTTTGAAGTAGTTTGGTGTTGCCAGGAGCAGACCTATCTCACTCCCATGAAAAGCCTTATGTTATTAAATAAAACATCTTAAATGCCATCTCTGAAGTATTTGAAAACCACCTATCTAAAATATATGTTTAACCTTTAAAATATACTTAACATGGCTACATGTTTTATTGTTGTAGATGACTAACTACTAACTACTAACCCTAAACAGTTTGTAATAATAGCTTCCATATTACATTTTTTACATAAGCTGCATAGGTACAATACCTTAAACAAGAGTAGAAACATATATACAGTATGTTGTAACAAAATGACCTTAAATTTGTATCCATGTATGAAAATCTATACCAATGAAAAATATTTGAGATTAATAGTCCCTTTTTAGTTTAAAAGTAGATTCAATAATCTATGCTTTTATACTATCATTCCTATACCCCCTTCCCTTTTTCTTTTCAAAAAGAGATCCTTGAATCCAACATCCCTTGCTTAATTTCCTTGCCATAACCAGTACCAATTTGTAACCAACTTCCCATATATGATGACAAGCATCTGTAACCCACTGAGTGACCAAAAATCACCCACCCTGCCTCTTTGGAATGTGCTTATCATGTTCTTAAAATTACTTCCTTTTGCCTGTGGACAACAACATCTTTTTGGGAACTCTGAGAAACTTTAGATAATGGTCAAGTCATGGGACAGTTGGCTGTAAAATTTACTGTCCTGTCTCTGTGTAATGGGAAAGTCCTGGGCTTACCTGAAGTCCTGGTTAGAGTAGTCTGTTAGGCTGGACCATCTTAGTGAGCCCCTTTGAAGTTGTTCTGGATACAGATTTTTGAGGGAACCACAACAGAGGAATTCTGAGGGCTGCTTGTCTTCACTGGTGTCTGGTTCTTTTGTTATGAAAACATACAAACTTGTAAAGGTAACACACATATCTATAGGATCACAAATATGGAATGTGTCACGTGCTTGAATCAGCTAAAGATGATTCTCTGCTCTGTATTTGAGCAGGCAAAAGACATGTGTCAGCTTCACAAGTCCATTTGGATGGTATGACTAAATGTTATATAAATTTCCAGCCTTGCCTTATGATAGGATGACATGTAACAATGAGGACATTGTAGCCAACAAGATTTATTATGTCTCAGACAGTCTCAAAGCTGCTTCCATAATAGAAGGATCAGCATATACACCACCTGTCTTGGAGTTTTTATTTGTTTCTTCCTTCATGTTTGTAGCTAGGATTTTCAGGTCTCCCCCTGGTCAAATCTGATCTCTCCCCTAATGTAACGTATTTCCGGACTTCCATTCTGAAGTTAAGACATTCTTAAAATAGGTAAGTTGGTTTAATTTAGCAGCCCCCCCCCCACAATCCAATCGATCTCTTTCAGCAGCATTTGCCTTTTGTTCATCGGCAAAAAAAAAAAAAATTAAACCAACAAAGTAAAATACAGGATCCAGGTGCTCTGTGTATGTCACATCCTTATGTGACCTTTTATTATTATCATTATCACTTTACTATTTCTTTAAAGAATTTACTTTATTGGTTTTAAACTGTTTATCTAACTTATTAATTTACTTTTGTGACTGAATATACCCATTTCCCCCTTCCTTAGCACTTGAACACATTTTCAAGCACACTGTAACTTGTTCAGAGGTATTTTTGTTTTGGCCTGGACCTGGCTTTTTTTTTTCTTCATGTGTGCATCTGCAACATTTCTCTGACTGCTGCATGGCTGCTTATCACACCACACTGGCATTGGCTTGCCCGCCTTTGGGTCCTGCAGGCAGTGGTGGGAGCTCTGGGAAGCTGCTGTGTTGGTGCCGTGGCAGACATTCCTATCTAGTCCCCTGCTGCAGAGTAGCACACTGGTCTCTGTATGCTGCAAGCACTGGTCCTATCTGACTGTCACCAGAAAGCCACCTAACAACTCTGTGTTCAGAACTATTTTTTTTCCAGCTTTTTCAGGCCCTATGTGGATTTATGGGTTGCGTGTTGGGAGCCAAATGTAGTAGTGCTTTTTTTTTTTGTCAGGACTCCCAGTCCACAAATAATGACCCGGAGACTTATTAATTATAAAAGTTTAACTTTTAGCTTAGGCTTGTCTCCAGCTAGCTCTTATAACTCAAATTAATCTGCTTTTTATTGGTCTACCATGTGGCTTGGTTACCTCTACTCTGTACCGTATATCCAACTTCCTTAGAGTCTTATTGACTGGGGTCTCCCTGCGTCTCTTCTTCCCAGAGTTCTCTCTCTAGAAACAAGCCTAGCTATTGGTCATTTAGCTCTTTATTGCACTGAGCGCAGCAATAGAGCTCACACAGTGTACAGATATCCCACAACAACACCCAGCTTTTTATATAGGTGCTGGGGGCCAAACTTGGGTCCTCACCCTGGTGCAGCAAGCACTTTACCAACCGAGCCATCTCCCCAGACCCCTTCAAATATTTCTAAGGCTCTTAAAGCATCTATAACGTGAATAGATTACACGTACATGTTTTTATTCTAATTTTTATAAAACATGGATATTTTCTGGATTAGTACAGAGATGCCCTGCTGTATCTTTTAATCACTACAGAACCAGAGAAACAAGGACATTCACTGTAAAGAGATGAAAGAATTAAATTTGTCTTCAGCTAGCTGCAGCCACTTAGCAGTTGGCCTGATGTATTTTCTCTTTGTGCCTCAGCTTCTCCACTTCTAACTTTATTTATTTTTATTGTACGAGCATTGGTGTTTTGCCTGCATGTGTGTGTGAAGGTGCTAAATACCCTGGAACTGGAGTTACAGACAGTCGTGAGCTTCCACGTGGGTGCTGGGAACTGAGCCCAGATCCTCTGGAAGAGCAGTCAGTGCTCTTACCCACTGAGTCATCTCTCCAGCCCCAGTTTCTTCATTTCTAAAGGGAAAGTATTGTTTACCTCTTACAGACATGATGCCTTGATGCCATTCCCGGCATAACTAGAGTGGAAGTGTGGTGGGGAGTCATTCTGTAGTTTTTGGGTGTGTTGTACTGTATGTCCTGTCATTAACTCATGATTAGCAGGTCTGCGTTTCTCTGTGACGTTTTCCTGTAGGCTTAAAGAGCCAATGGCATTCTGGTTGCTGACTTAGCCGTGGTATTTCTGGGCAGTTGGGATGCTGTTAGGACAGGTAGTCATGAGAGCAAAGGTGAAAGCTCTGGGGACCAGCTGGCCTCTCAAGATGCTCCGAGAGAGTTTGATGTTGGAAGTGATGCCCCTGGACTCTGATCTGGGAACAAAGAGCAGCACATGCCAATTTTATTTGCATGAAACAGGTCCATCAGAAAATACAGGATGCCTTTTATGTGGGCAGGCTTTGCCCTAAATGGGGAACAAGACTAGGTCTCTGATCTTGATAGAGACCTGGAAGGCAGAAACGAAACACATTTCACACCAGTTCAGCATTCAGGAATCGGTGAAAAACTGAAAGGGTCAGGGAGTGAAGAAACAGGAGCTGAACGCTTTGCACTGCAGGGCAGCCAGTCCTGTGCCATCAAGACTGAAGCAGCCGCTTGGTTAGAAACAGGAGCACCAAGGCTCGTGGGGAGGAAACAGCTGATACATTCAGGGGCCTTTCCAGGAGGAGGAAGCTACGGCTCCTGGTGGAGGAAAAAGAAGCAGTCTGAGCCGGGTCATAGACTTGCAGGTGGGGTAAAGGTAATTGAAGAATCATCTCCCCCTCGCAGGTATTTAGCAGCAGGGGCATGCTGAAACTGAGAATGGAGAGAGGTTGCCTACAGGTGCTCATGGCCCAGCTCAGGGAGTGTGGCTTACAGGATCTCAATCTTCCTGATACACTGATCCTGCATCCTTGGTCATCGAGTTCCTAGATGACACCCCTGTGAGGTGTAGCTTTTAGTTGCTTATAAGTTAATCAGTCTATAATATTTTATCATAGCTGCTCAAGGGAAGGCCTCAGTGTTCTTTTCCTTCCTCCCCCCCTCCCCATTCACATCCTCCTCTCCCTTCCTCCTTCCCTCTCTTATCTCCCTCCCTTCCTCCCTTCTTCCTCTGAAGCAGGCAAACACAGGAAAACTTTAGTAACCTGGCCTTTAAGTAAACTTCTAGGAAGAATCTCTTCTGCTTCTGCATAATTAGGTGTAAAATCAGATGCATTTTGGGAAGTAGAAAAGTGATTATTATGACCTATTCTATTAATCACAACAGAACCACCTGCATATGCCCCCTCAGTAACCAAGCTCCTCCTTCCCTTGGCCCCAGATGATAATCAGGACCCCTGAGTCGTCTCACTCATATGACCTTCCTCTCCATTGCAGTCTATTCTAATATCTTCTGTCACTTTGCCTTAATTAACTTTTGCAAATCTACGTGGGCTTTTATTTCAATTAATTAAACAAGAGGCTGAATTCAAGCCAACCCTCACCATTGGTTACAGGTAGTTCCTCTCTCCTTCCTTCCTTCCTTCCTTCCTTCCTTCCTTCCTTCCTTCCTTCTTTCCTTCCTTCCTTCCTCCCTCCCTCCCCCCTCTCTCCCTACTACTTCTCTCTATAGATTTCCTTCCTTTCTCTTCCTTTGTTATTTTTCTTTTCTTTTTAAATATAAAGAAGTTATGTGTATGATTGTTTTGCTTGCATGTAAGTATGTGTACCATGTGGGTTCCAGGTACCGCTGGAGGTAAGAAGAACACATCATATCCCTGCAACTGGAGTTATGGGTGGGTTTAAGCCACCAGATGTGGTCCAGCCTTTCAGCTGGTCTCAGACTTGCTTGGTATCCCAACCTGGCTTCAGACTTGGGATCTCCTGCCTTGGGTACTGCGATTATAGATTTGTACTACCCCATCTGATTCTGTGTTCCTTGAGAATACTTCCTGTATGATTCCAACGGGATGGAAACTACCAATCTGGAACATTCCCCTTTTGCTCAGTAGTCAGTTGGTACTTCCTTTACTGAGTCAGACTCTCTAGAGTGGTTAAAGGATGCATTTGAACACACACCATCTTCGACAATTCATAAGCTCCTTTAGGTTTGAGAAAGTCTGACAAAAAGATCGGCTGTCTCCCATTTCACGCCACCCTGCACTAAAAGAGCTGATGCTCCTTCTGTCTTCTTACTAAATGCAAGCCGCTTCTGCTTGCCATTACATGCTTGAGACTTTAAAACAGTCCAGCAAAGACCTTGGGAGGAAGAATCTCATTTTGATGTAACGCAGGCAGCGGATGAAGCCATTTCTTCTAGCTCTGACACTCTATGATTTTACACCATTATATCTGTCATTATGATCTGTGAAGCACAGGTATGAAATGGTTCAAACGGTGGCTACTGCGGACAGAAGGGCAGGCGATAGCTTCAAGCGGGGTTCGCATAATCCCATGGGTCCTGCCTTGGACTTTAAATCAAGCTGACCAGCGAACCTATGGACACCACAGGCCTTGGACACTGAGCCGCGTCTCCACCAGGCCACGCACTTTAGCAACCATTGCGGATCATTGTGCCTCATTTCCTAGCTACTTGATTGCTACTAGCATATGTCTGGAGTGCAGAATGGTGGGTCTTGTTTTGACTTCCTCACGCTTGCCTGCCGTATGCTTTGATCTGATTCAATGTGTCCCCCTTAGGCCTCTCCTACCCCTCCCCCCTTTCCTGCCCCATCTGTTGTTTTAACCCTGTGCTCCACTCCTGACCCACCTTGAGCTCTTGGCTCTGAGTCTGAACGTCATCCCTACTGCTGATCCTTTGAACTTGAGGTTAACACTTGTTTCCCCCTGAATGTTCATCTCCGTTTTTCCTGGTGGACTTCCTCCTGCATGACCTGGGGAATAAGAACCAAGCCTGGCTCAGGCTGCCTATGGGACTGCCTCATCAGATCCATACCAATCTTAGGGACAGACAGTTCCATCAGGACCTCTGAAGTGGGATGGAGAAGTCGGGTCTTTGCCCCACGTTCCCCAGGGAATTCCAGGGGGCAGCAAGGGTTGACAACCACTTACAAGTAGACAACCACAGCGGCCTACAGCCACCCTCCTCCACCTCGCCACAGCCTGGGTTACACTTCCTTCACCCACATGTGTGTGCTGTGGGAGGGCTCTTTTAATGACTGTCCCACGCCGGTGGTTACCACTCCTCCCTCCAGGGGTAGAATCTGAAATATGCCACCAATCATGAGGATGCAGGCTGAGTGAGAGGCAGCTGGCCAAAGAAAACAGAACTCTCACAGGAGAGACTCCCAGGCAGAGAGCTGGCGGGCCATGCAAAACAGACAGAGGAGTCATTCGCCGTAATGAGTAACCTCCGGCAGGCGCTTTGCAGAGCAATACGGTTGATAAATACTCGGTACTTAAAGTGAACTTTGAACAAATGCACAAGCAGAGATTGAGTGCTTTGTGCAAAGAGAAGCACATTAAGGGCTTGTTGCAAAGAAACCTTGTCCCTGCATAGACGAGGTGGAATAAAAACCCAGCTGGGGACTCTGAGATGACTCTATGGGTAAGAACACACACTGCTCTTGCAGAGGACCAGCAGTTCAGTTCCGAGCATCCATGTAGGGCAGCATCCAACCACCTGTAACTCTAGCTTCAGGGGTCCTCCACAGGTACCTGCACTCATATATGCACATGTGCGCACACACATACATAATGACATATAAAATGAATTTTAAAAAATAGTTGGAGACACAGTGGAACACAGGCAGTAAAGTACATTTCCTAAAAGCCTGGTGGTTGGGGTGGAGGGTAATCTAGTGATACTACTGAGTTGGGGAGGGGGTCACAGTGTTTTAGGGTGATGTGGAATTGGAAGTACCTATTGTGATCTCACGGTGGGTTATTCGTAGTTTGTAGAATTCACCAAGCTTAAACTGTATACATAGTAAGTTCATTATCATTTTAATTCCAAAGGACACTCTTCATTTTCAATTAATTCTTTCATTGTTGCTATGAATCCCAGAGCCAAGGAACCCTATTAAGCTCTTTTATGGAAACATATATGGGCAAGAGAGTTTGGGTGTCCAGCTTGGTGACTGAGAAGGGATGTAGCTCTTGCCATGGAGCTGGTACCTGGGCAGCATTCCAATTCCTCTTTGGGATGCTACACACAGTGCTAACACCATTGGGCCAGAGAATAAACATCAACCGTGAGGCCCAAGAAATGGAAAAGCCATGGGGAGCATGCATTTGGGAGGTTCTGTAATGAGACAGGCGCCACAAAGATGTGGAGAGTGCGCCAGCTGTCAAACTGGAAAGGTTGGGGATCAAGTGGAGCGTTTCAAAGCAGTCATCCCTGCTTTTCATTAAGATGAAAACCCAGATACGCTCGTCCCTCACAGAGCCAACTGATCTCAACAAGACAGCCCAAGCTCGATGGCCCGTTACTTCCTATGGTGGCATGCAGGCAAGAATAGCATCCGACTCCCTTCATCTGCAGGTCTGGATGCTGATGGGAGTTTCTGATGGGAAGAAATCGACTGTTTTTTTTTCTCTGTGATTTCCACAGACCAGCTTTAGAAAGAACCATCATAGCAGAAAATAAACCCTGGGAGAGGGAGAATGTGCTGTCCTTTCTCCTTCCCCTCCTTTACTGGCCAGGAGGGGTGTGTCTCTCACAAGTCCCACCCCTGGCGATTCTCTTTGGAAGAGTTCCTTTGGAAACTCAGCAGAGTTCAAGTGCATCGCCACTGAAACCAGATGAAAAGCCAGTGATTACCTGGGAGTCGGGAGGAAGCTGAGTCCACCCTGGCAACATGCTCCTGATAGCAGTACATCATTCCATGCAAGGTCTCCTTGAATTTCCTCAGAAGAGGGCAGATTAAAAGTACACAAAGGGATAAAAAGCCCAAACCTTAAACAGCTGGAGAAAATCTGGGTGATTGGGCATCGCTTGGCCAGGTCCCATCTCTTGGGGCTTTGTGGCCAAATCCCATTTCACAGCAGATTGGACAGAGAATTCATCTAAAAGTCAAAACTCGGCCCAGTGCCTTTGAACATCTTCCTTTAAAGCCGTGTTAATGAGCTTGACTACTTCAGGACCATGAGCCTTTACTGCGGCTCCTGTAGGCTTGTTGTCTACCCAGGACCTGCTCAGGATTCTCTCGTTCAGAGTTGCAGTTTCACCAAGGACTTCTCCATTTCTTTATCTGAGAAGAAAGGGATATGTTGACAAGTAATTGGCATATAATGAGATAACTATAACAAGTTAATTAGTTCTCAATTAAGTTGCATTTGCCATCTTTCCTGAATGTGTTCTCAGCAATTAGGGACATCTAATGAACTTGGAGCAACTGCTTGACTTCTCACAGTCAGCAGGAAGATGAGAACGTCTCTCTTGGAGTTGGAGGCAGCCCAGCTTTTCTTTCTTGAAGTCAGCATCAGGGGACGAATTCCTACTGCATCAGTATCAGCTAAACTGAAGAACCAGTCAAGTCAGGGAGACAGTGGGCTGGAGCAAGAAAACACGTCAACGAGGAGGGACTGATTAGTGCAATGTAAGGGTCTTTGACGTGGAATCCTGGAGTTAGGGGTTCAAGTCCAGGCTATTGCTTTTTAGTTATGTGACCATCTTTGTTCATTTTATACTCTGTAAACTCATGAGACTGGGTAATATATAAAGAAGAGAACTTTTAGCCAGCAGGAAAACAGAAATGAAGCCTGCACTGAGAGTCCATCTCTCCTGTCAGAATGGCTAGGATGAAGAAAACAAATGATAAAAGATACTGGGAAAGATGCAGGAGAAAGGGACCCTTAGTCACTGTTGGTGGGGAATGTAAGCTAGTGAGCCATGTAGAGATAATAACCAGACTGTCAAAAAGCTAAAACTGGAACATCCCGACCCAGCTCTGCCACTCCTGGATATACAGCCCAAAGGAAGTAAATTAATATACCACACAATTATTTGCACCTCCACATTTATTGTAGTAGTGGTCACAACAGTCTAGATATGAAACTATCCAGTTAACAGATGAATGGATAAAAATGTGGCACAAACACACAATGGAGCTTTAGTCGGCTGTGAAGGGGGACAAAATTAAGTAATTTATACGATATTGAATAAAATTGGAAATCATCATGCTAAGCAAAATAATCTAGACTTAAAAGGACAGATCTCACATGTTTGCCTCTTACATGCAGAATCTAGATTTAAACACACACACACACACACACACACACACCATGCATGAAATGAACTTGGACTGTTAACACTGGGTGAGAGAAGCAGAGCAGTGGGAGAAGGCAGGAGGAATGATGGGGAGAGAGAGGAAAAGATGGGCAAATAAGAGCAAGGTAGATGATGTCCGTGCACGGAAACATCGTGTGAAACTCAGCATTTGTGTGCTAACTGGAAGTCCATGTAATAAAGCGCTGAACCAGGACATTATTCCCCTCAACATCAACACACAAATAAACAAGCATTCGGAACACAAAAAGGAACACAGCATTTATTTAGCTCACAGCTCTGGAGCTGGTGGGTGCGAGATTGGGTCCCGGGTATCTGCTGAGAATCTTCTTACTACGTCTTGCTGTGGCGGAGATCGTCACATGACAAGAAAGTGCAAGCAACACCAGAGCTAACATTTCTATGATGAAGCCACTCCTTTTTTTTTTTCCAAAAAAAAAGATTTATATATTTATTGTATATACAGTGTTCAGCCTACATGTTTGCCTGCTGCCAGAAGAAGGCACCAGATCTCATTGAAGATGGTTGTGAGCCACCTTGTGGTCGCTGGGAATTGAACTCAGGACCTCTGGAGTAGCAGCCAGTGCTCTTAACTGCTGAGCTAACTCTCTAGCCCCCTGTGGCCACTCTTAGAGAAGCCAAATAATCCACTCATTCGCCTCAAAATGGACGAATCTGGTCACCTCTCAAAGGGCCTCCCTCTAAATGCCACCGACATATATGTGTGGGGATTAAACTGCCAATGCATGAGTTGTGGAGGACACAGACAAGCCATAGAGATGACTGGGGAAAATACTGCAAATCCTTCGGTCTCCACTTTTATGCCGGATGTAACAATGTAGAACTCAGAATGTTGCTGCGGAGACTGAGCAGAGTATGGAAGCTTAAGCTCTGTTTTCCACACGCAGAAAACTTTGTTAGCCATCTACAGACGTTTCTCTGTGACTTGCGTAATTTGGAGGTAAGCCCCAGAGGAGGGGGTCAGATGTCATAGCTGGAGCCCCCTGGGCAAACTTCAACGTAGTTCCAAGTGATGAACACTTCAGGGAAGAACGTTATCAGCGTGATACAAGATGCCCAGGTAGCCAGGGAATGTACGCAGAGAAGGTCAATGAGTCATTCCCCCGTTATGATCACACCACCCCGTGAGATTGCGATGAGGAAAGTGGTGTGCGCTTATCTGTCGAGCGCCTTGTATGAAAGCGGTCCTCTTTGGGGAGGGAACAGGCATGGTGGGGTACGAGAGGGGCCAAGCCTCCATAGCGGCATACCCTGCTGAAGGGCTCCAGGGCCTTGGCTCGCCCTTCATATCCTTTCTATCCACCCAGGGTTCACCCCATCTTTAGCACGAGCTATGATTAAAAAGCCACACTGAGAAATCATCAGAAGGAGGGGGAAAAATTTACAAACTGATTTGCATTTTAATGAATTTTTAATTGAACCCAAATCTGTTGTTTCTGTTTAAAGATGCAGGACCGACTCCGCGGTCTCTGCAGCTGAGGGCCAAGTGGGAACTTGATGTGATAAGAACAATAATAATGCTAAGCTTAATTAGGTTTGAAGACTTGTCTGCAAGGTCTGTGTGGAGTCTGGGAACGGCGCTTTCCAGCAGTGGTTTAAAAAGCAGGCTTGGATGGGTAGATGCTTCCTCCCACAGATGAAGACCTCAGCGGGAAGGAGCCAAGGAGCCGTGAGCCGTTAGCGTAGGGCAGACAACTGAGGTTCTCACTGGCTATGGAGACTTTGATTTCTAGGCGCAGGCGCCTCCCACATTAGTCAGAGGCAGGTGGGCCACGAAGTTCTAGGCCGCTTTGGTGTCACGCCGCTGCCGCCAGATTCTCCTTTTTCTTCTCTGCTTTTTTTTCTTCTTCTTCCTCCTCCTCTGTTAATTTTTTTCCAGTGTCATCTTTTAATTGACTCTTTGGGAATTTCACATCATGCCCTCTGATCACACTCACTGCAGCCCTTCCATGTCTGCTTCCACACCTTTGTGACCTCTAATTCCCCGGAAATAAAATTAAAATAAAAACAATAGAAAATTAAGAAAAAAATCAAGTCCAATTTGTGTCACCTATATACTCATGGGAGCATGGTCAGACTCTTAGTGGCTTTCCCCTTAAAATAGAACTGAGTCCTCCCCTCCCACAACCCCTGCCACCAAGCTTATCCATCAACTGTAGAGAGCTACACTTCAGCATCCTGATGACACTTTTAAAGCGTTCTCTCTGATGGCTTCCTGTTTAGGCTGTTACTTGGGGATGGAGCTGGGGTAGGGGTTGTCACAGAAGCCTTCCATGTCCCTCCTTCTCAACTGTGTCTGCAGCCATCAATATCACTGCAAAAGAAGCTTCCTTGCTTTTTACAGTCGGCGGGAGCATGGATCATGGGCTGCCACATGGCTTCTGGTGACAGCACAAACCACAGACATGGCCCCCAGCTGTAATAGGATCATGGACCCAGACAAGACCCTTGGAGGCAGCCCAGACCAGTGACATCAACATGGCCTCAGTTGGCAGCGCAGGCCACTCATAGCAGCATGATCCCCAGAGGCAGCACGGCACACAGACATCATCACCACAGTTTGAGACTGTAATACCGACCACAGACATCTGAATGACCCTCAGTGGTAACACGGGTCACAGACATCGACATGGCCTTATCAGGACCAGGGACCGCAGCAACAACACAGACCCTGGGCTTCCACATGGCTTTAGGTGTCTACATTGTATCCACATGCTGCTCCCTTCCCCAGGCAGCCAAGCCCAGGGACATCACCAAGGCTTCAGTCAGCAACATAGACTGTGTTCATCGTCGTGGATCTCAGGCTTCATCACGGCCTGGGGCCGCAGACACCAATGTGGCTTCTGGTGGCATCAAGAAGCACAGTGGTCTTTGGAGGAGGTTCAACCCAGAAAGGGAACCGTTCCTCATCCCACAGCCAGGCAGCATGTTTGAGGGATGAGTGTGAGTCAGCTCCAGGATGCTGTCAACACCCCACCAACCCCACTGGGCAGTGACAGCATGCCGACCGAGCTCTCTCCTCCCTGCCATCCCCATTGTACCTTCAGGTCTGCCTCCTCACTGCTCTGGGTTTCCTCTGCCCACCATTACCTGTCTATTTTTTTATTTCACTTTTTTTCCTGAACTAGGCTAGAACTCAGGGCCTCAGATGCTGTGAAGATGTTCTCCCACTGAAACATGTCCTTGGCCTGTGTGTTTAAAGGCAGCGAAGGTCACTCGGAACTAAATTTGGGGCTAGGCTACCTTATGGAGAAAGCAATGGCCTGAAGGTGTGGCAGTGATAAGCAGAGAAATCCAGATTTCTTGTGGAATACTGGCTCTCCCTCTGTGTTCAAAGGTCATATAAGGGCTCCTGTAAGTCCCAGAGCTTCTTGTTGGTTCCAACCTTTCCTTGCTTTCCTTCATATTGTCACTACCTTCCCCTCCTGATCATCTTTAATGAGGCCTTGAAGAACAACACATCCCCAGGTGTGACAACGACAGTTGTATAAAGGTAAGTGTCTGTACTAATTCTATCTATCTATCTATCTATCTATCTATCTATCTATCTATCTATCTACCTATCTATCCATCCATCCAACTTCTATCCCTACATATACTAATTTGTCCATTCTTCCCCTCATCCTAGTGGCCCTGATTTTCTGTGGCTTAAGAAGGTCACACTGGTCACCTAGAGAAGGAACATCTATAAGGTGCTGTGTCTGGAATCATGGGAGGAGAAAGCATGGAAGAAAGTTCTCTGTGTTCCCTTCACTGAACTGTGTTCTTAAGCCTCTGGACACCTAAGCCCTCTTATCACTCAGGTCCTGTAAGTCAAAAGAGGGAAACAGGTCATTTTTGTCATGCCCCCAAACAGTGTTCCTCCTAATCAGCTATAGGACACTGTCACAGGCAGGAGAGGCTGAGAAGCCCCGTTGCTGTCACGGCTCCTAATGTAGTTTT